TTTTTACAACAAAATTACATGTTATGATAAAAATTGGAGGTGCGCCTTAATTGGATGGTTTAAAATTGCAACCTTATAGAAACCGCACCATATATATATATATATATATATATATTAGACATATATCAAGAGAATAATAAAAGACCCTAATGCTACATGTGTTATAAGATAGTTTACTTATTATATAGTCTACATTCCTGTCTCTTTTGGGGTATAGATATATGTATTTTAAAGAAGGGAGAGAGAGACTTGGAGAGGTTCTTGATTGAGAGAGGGAGCATGTAGAGAGAAAATAGTGAGAAAGAGAGAGATGGAGAAAACATCAAGGAGATAGATTGGCTTTTATCTTAATTCCCCATCTATAGGGAGAGAGAAAAAACTTTTTTTAGAAAACTTATATGGTTAAGAAAGGAAAGTGGTGGTAGTGGAGGGAGTGGATAGTTATAGCCACAAAAAAAGCCAAACTTATAGGAAACAATCAATTAAAATCTAAGCAAATAAATTATAATAGATAGGGTGGGAATTACACGATGGGAAAAGTTTATGTAGAGCCGAGGCTCTAAACAATCAAATTAGAGCCTACCTCAAAAATTTCACTAGAAGAGGTTGTTTTGATGCTTAAATATCCTCAAATTGATCATTTCGACATCAAGATATATGGACATGCGAAAACAAAATGGATTTCAAGTTTTGGAAATAGTGTATTTTGTAACGCATTTATTTACTGTTAATCTTCAAGATTTTCAAGTTTTTATGGATATGTTGATTTATACTATTTTTGAAGCTTTAAACTTTATAAATAAAGATGAAAAAATATTATAACTCAATAAATAAAGATGAAAAAATATTTTAAGTCTATCAGAAAGATTTCCAATACTGAAATCACATTTCTCGATATTATTTGACGGTAGGCTCTAATTTAATTGTTTAGAGCCTGGCCTCCATACAAACTATACCTTTACATCATATATAGAATGATATTAATTGAGAGGCGTGAGAAAATGAGAGAAATTGGTTGAGAGAGACGTGAAAGAGTTCTCCCATCATATATCAAGAGAGATCACTTCCTATGCATTGTTTTTTATTTTATTTTATTTTATTTATTTTTTGCATAGATATCTTTTACAGCTTTCTTTGTTGATTTGTTTATTATTGTAAATATTTTTAATTTTTTATTATTGTGTAAAATTCATATTGATTTCATTATGCTTAATAAGGCTATATACATCTAAAGGTATGCCAATATTTCTATTTATTTATTTTTCTGTATAACTTTAACATCATGTGTATTATTATGCAATTTACTGAGAATTAATCTCAAAGAAGTTCTTATTTTTTACTTTAACTTTCTCATCCTTTTAATTTTTGTCCATAACTCATCATTTCACTTTGTTAATAAATTTTCAAATTTGAAACTGCAATTTTTGGCCAAAGTTCTGCTCCTTAAAAACATATTAATAGATTATGATCAATTTTCACATTTATTATTTTGAATTTTTTAGATACATAAAAATATTCTATTGATACAAAGAGATGAAAATGTATCCAACTTTTGTCATTTCTTTTCTTAAATACAGTTATAAATTTAATATTTTTTATGACAATCTCTTTCTTATTACTTGTCATGACTATTTAAATTTCTTTACATATTTTATTTCTAATCCCAAGCCCTACACTTAATCGTTATTCTTGAAAATGCTTAAGAAATATTATATTTGAAATAACAAACTTTCATGCTCTTAAAATTTATTTTAACTTTGTGAGAGGGTAAATAGTATCAATACTTCACAACATTAGTAAATTTTCCTATTAGTTAAATTAAGCAATTTAATATATATATATATATATTCTATTTTTTACCTAAAATTGTTTGTTGTTTTTTATTTGACAGTCAAGGTTTTTTTAATCACGTGCAAAGCATGTGCTTTTTACTAATGTATATATGATGGAGTGATTTCATGTAACAATTCTATTATAATAAGACAATCTTTGAAATTATGTTACGGCCATTATTTTTGGAAAAAATACCGATCTTGCATAACTATGAACACTTATTTGTAGTGGTAAATAGATGATGTAGATAATTTAATATAATATACACTATTTTTAGAACTTGAATTTTTTTTATTTTTTATTTTTACAAAAAATAATGTTCAAGCTGAGATCCATATAAAGGTTTTCCGGTAATTGAATTGTAATTTTTTATGGGATGCGGTTAGCATGCGGCCAAGCCCACGCATGCCGAAATGCGTGTTTGGCAATAAATATATTTTTTAAATATAATTTGATCTTAATTTTTAGAGAATATATAATCTTTAATATGGCCATCATGAATACGAAATAAAATAAAATTTAAAAACTAAAAGTAATAATTATATGAAAAAAATATTTTGACAGCACACTACAATTGATTGTAGATGGACCACCTATTGACTGCATATTGTAGAAATGCGGTCCAGCCCGCATGAAACAATTGTTGTTTTTATGGGGTACCAGCGGAGGCGTTAGTTACGTTGATAGGCCCGCAGCCCTATCAAACGATTTTCCTATTATTTCGTTTGCTTCCCTCTTCTCTCCTATAAGAAACCACGGATCGAGTTCAGACCAACCGTCCTTTCACGCGTTGAAGAAGGGTCAAATCTCATCGCTTCCGTCCCTCAATCCCACGGCTCAAGTCCTGCCACATCGCCGAGCGCTCTCACCCAACGGTGCCGCTTCCATCTCCGTGATCCCAACGTTTCCTCTTCTGCTTTTCGAGGGTTCTCTTAAGATAAAGAACCCTCCACCTTCGCTGAAATTGTCTAGGGCTTTTTAAGAGTTAACGAACAATTTTTCTAGGGTTTTCTAAAAATTTCAGGGAGAGATTTCTTGGGTTTTGGTAGTTTCAGATCTCCCTTTCTCCTGAACTTTTTAGGGTATCTTCTGTTTCATTTTTCAGAAGCTAAAGCCTTCCTTTTCTAGGAGTTCAGAAGGTACGGATCGTCCATTTCTTCCTCTCTAGGGTTTCCAAAAGGTACAGATCTAGCATCATTCTGGTCTTTTCTAGGGTTTCAGAAGGTAGAGATCTTCAACAAAGAACGCAGATCTTACACGCCCCCCTCCCCCCCCCCACACCCCCTTTGCCCCGCTAACTTCCCGCAAATTTCTAGAGTTTATCAAATCCATCACCAATGGCGACACAGAGCCCCTTACCAGTGTCCCAGGGCACGGCCATTGCAACAACACCCGCTGCCCGTGCATTCTTTGCTCGCCTCTCGGATGGAGCACGTGCTTCCCTGGCTCAGCGTCGGCCATGGATGGAGCTGTTGGATCGAAACCAGCTCTCAAAGCCTGATACTCTCTCTGAAGCCACTGCTCGAATTCGGAAGAATTGGACCTACTTTCGCATCAATTACCTTATTCTCTTGTGTGGTGCCCTAGCGATCAGCCTGGTTTCTCATCCAGTCTCTCTCTTCATGCTCGTTTGTTTACTGGCTGGATGGATCTTCCTGTACTTTTTCAGGACTGAGCCTTTGATTCTCTTCAATCGATCCTTCAGTGATAGAGAGGTTCTGGGCATCATGGTTCTGCTCACTGTGATTGTGGTGTTCTTGACGAGTGTTGGGTCTCTGCTCATTTCTGCTCTCATGTTTGGGCTCGCCATCGTATGCGCTCATGGTGCTTTTCGTGTGCCTGAGGATTTGTTCCTTGACGAGCAGGAGTCCTCTGGTGGGTTCTTGTCATTCCTTGGAGGGGCTGCTACACCTGCACCTGTTGTGGCTGCGCATGTTTGAGGATCCAGAAGCTAAGGTTTCCTTCTTCGTTGAATTAAAGCTTCTCTTTGCTTCATTTTATGTTATGTTATAGGCCTGATCTGTAATTTTTGCTCTGTTCCTTTTTCGTTTGCCTGATTTTGGCGATCAGAGAATTATTTCCTCTCCGTCTCTCTCTCACATGAACTTTTGGTTGGATCTCTTTTTTTTTTTGGGTAGCTTTTGGAATTGGCCACGTCTTCTTGAATATTGTTCATTCTGAGTACTTAGTCGAGTCATTCATATGTGATATTTTTTAAAGACGACATGAATATGCAGGCTTCTATCATCCGGTCTCTCTCTCTCTCTC